CATTCTCAGAAATAGCCTAGCCTCCCCGGCGTGTACGACCCATCTGCTGTCTCTAACATCAATCAATTCATTCACGGATGTAGAAGACTCGAAACAACTTCAGAAGTAATGACGACGAAAATTTTAACAAAATTACGCAATAACAACAAGGTACGAAAACGACACGTAAACAAAATGAATCCAAAGTACACCAATTGAGAAGGCACACCACACGTATACACAAACAGTACAAATAACCTCACGGATCATGTCTTGATGGAATTCCTTTGAAGAATTGCAGGACCTACACCAGTACGCCTACAACTCTTCAAAGGTTTACGATTGTAAGTTGTGGAATGTCCGGACACAAACAAGATTAACCAACAATTACAATAATTGGAACTCACACAATTATTCAACACAAACATATGTACAATCAACACATCAAATGTTGTGGATTCTGGCACGACAAACTACCCTTGAAGAACTGTTGGACTTACAGCAGTACGCCTACATTCCTTCTCAGGTTGATGATCCAAGTGGAAGTCGTCCGGACACAATCAGAATCACCAACAGCTAGATGACAGATGATATCAATTCAGTATATACAATATGAACATATGTACAAAATCACACACCAAGCACATTGGACTGCTCATTGATGCGCTACCCTTTGAAGAATTGTAGGACTTACAGCAGTACGCCTACAACCCCTCTCAGGTCGACGCTCTAGGTTGGAAAATCGTTGCAGAGTTCATTTGCTGACTTCCTTCTATGAGCTATATCCTCAAATCTGAACGGAAACACGCTCATGTCATTGTATCGTAGAATATAGATGACGAACAAACACACGACGTATCTGGTCAACCAAGTGTAAGTCACCAGATTATCCAAAAACTCTGTGAGTGCCTTGGAGTCATCTTGTAGTTGACTACCATTACCCTTAACAGCCTCGAATAATTTCCCTACAATCATCGAAGGTCTTCCAAACCTTTGACGTAGTATGCTCACAGCTTCGTAGTAGCCCTCTTTTGGATTTATAAACTTACAACACTGTATAGCTCTTGCAGCAACTCCAGTGCAATACCTCATCAAGTACATTAACTTCATTTCATCATTTAATAAAAACCACTCAACATGATCTCAAACTCCTTTACAAATTGTAAATAATCAGCCGGGTTTCCTTCGAAACACCGTGGTTCAGATTTAGGGAGTTTGATGTTCCGGTTATCCCTGAACGGCGAAACAGTAACATCAACCATGTCATGCTTAACATCAGACACATCGTTACAATTAACAGACAAGTCACCATGACTTACTTTCCTGTTTGTATCCAAGACGCTCTGTCCCTTCTTTGACCCAGGCATTGTTGAACTTGACCCAATTCCAAAAAGTTCCAGATATTGCTTGTTCAAAGAGGACTTGACCGGCACCAGGAAAAATGAACGGCGACTATCCAAACTTTCACCAACTGTTTCAATCCGCCAGATCTGTTTCTATCGTCAGAAACTGTCAGTCACGTCTCGTAAACCGTTAATGCCCAGCTCTTGATGCACTCGAGCTCACGCTGTTCCTTGAAGTTTCTCAGAAACGCTTAGTAATAACGGACGAAAAAACCAAAACACCAATTGGCGACTCGAGGATTCTTTATTGTAACACCAACATATAAACACTGTTACAACTAAGGTCTGTGAACGAATATTACAATAATAAATCACAATATTACTTCTGACGGTTTTCTGCTGACTTCTTTCTGAACAGCGACCGATGAGACGATGACTGTCGTATTGATGCCTCCGCGAAAATTGGGGAAGTTGGGTTTGAGCAAACAACCATGAATTGATCGTTCAATCTCCAACTACATTGACAGATACCGTCCCTTTAGTCACTGACGAGCCCAGGAGAATGACGTCATGGTTGAAGAGAGGCAAGCAACGTATTCTGGAAGCAAAGCGGAAGGCTTGGTTTACGTGGCGTGTATCTAAGAGTCAGACCGACCGCGATGCATACCTCGAACTCAGGAACCGGTGTAATGCAAGAGTCAGGAGGGACAGGAGTTCATTCCAGGCTAACCTTGCCAAAAAACTCCTAGCAAACCCCAAAGCTTGTACCGATTCATGTCGGAAAGAAAACCGACAAACCAAGGGGCATGCGCCTTAGTAGGTCCAAACGGTCAGTATCTCACTAGTCTGGAGATGGCTGAAACATTCGGTTCAGCCTTCGCTAAACAGCTAAACAGCAATGTGGATAATACAGTTACGGACCAAAATGGTGGCACCACTATTTCAAATGAGGAAGACCTAGCGACGACTCCCCAAATAAACCCCGCAATAGTACTAAGGAAGCTACAGAGACTCACACCTGGGAAGTCCCCAGGTTGTGACGACATCAGGCCATCTGTTCTGAAACGGTGCGCCGAAGCTCTCTGTAGACCCCTGTGCGACTTGTTCCAACACTCAATGGATTCCGGGACACTGCCAAGGGAGTGGAAAAGCGCCATCCTTTCTCCAATCTTCAAAGGTGGGGACAGGCAAAACGCTACTAGTTATAGACCAGTAGCTCTACTCCCAGTGGTATCAAAAGTACTGGAAAGTATTATTGACGACCACATCAGGGAATATTTCGATAGGTCTAATATACTATATGAAACCCAACATGGTTTCAGAAAAGGCAGGTCCTGCGTTACTAACCTACACTCAGCCTGGGACGACTGAACATCATGCTGGGATATGAATGTACCAGTCCATGTGGTCTTCCTAGACTTTGAGAAGGCATTTGACACTGTTCACCATGACCTTCTCCTACATAAAATAAGCCAGGCAGGCATAAGTGACCCACTTCTGTCATGGTTGAAGGAGCACCTAGCCGACAGGCAATTTTGCACTAAGGTTAACCGAGTCCGATCATCATGGCACAGGTCGTCATCAGGAGTGTCGCAAAGTTCTATCCTAGGACCACTGATGTTTTTGATTTTCATCAATGATCTACCACGCCGTCTGAGCTGCCCGACTCTCCTATACGCTGACGACGTAAAAAAATATGGAGGGCGACGAAGTGTCCGGAGGACTCAGATAGGCTGCAGGAAGACCTAAACCTTCTGGAAGACTGGGTGGTGGCCAGTGGCATGACTTTCAACTTGAAAAAGTGCAAAGTAGTGAAGTTGCGCATCTGTAGACTGCAGAATGCAAGTTACACCGTGTGCAATGAAAGCTTGTCCTGCACAACGTCGGAACGCGACTTAGGTCTAGTTCTAACGGAAAAAATGGACACAAGCGTAAATTACACAGGGGATGTAGCAAGGGCATATGCGGTCATACACTTTACGCATAGACAGTTAGGTGCACTCACTCCTGAGCTCTTTCTAAGGTTGTACAAAACATACGTCAGGCCACACCTTGAGGTGCATAATATTATTGCACCCCGAATGCCGAGAAGAGACGCCAACCTCTTGGAAAGAGTCCAACGACGGGCAACAAAAGGAGTGGTTAATATATGTGTAAAACTTGGGCACTGTGGTATTAAGTAATTCCATATTAGTTTGATTATTAAATGTATCACACAGTGAAACAGTATTGTATACTGGATGACGTTTTGAACACAATTTATTGTTCATAATCATATCAATTTTTGTCACACGACTTCGAGATTTGATTTTTATAGTTTTCTCTGTCTTCTATTTGTTGTTGTTCTACTGCCCATACAACAAATAGAAGACAGAGAAAACTATAAAAATCAAATCTCGAAGTCGTGTGACAAAAATTGATATGATTATGAACAATAAATTGTGTTCGAAACGTCATCCAGTATACAATACTGTTTCACTGTGTGATACATTTAATAATCAAACTAATATGGAAAAAGGAGTGGTTGGTCTCCGAAACAAACCATATGATGAAAGGCTGAAGAAACTAGGCCTGTTCACACTTAGCTACCGTCGGCTTAGGGGAATTCGATTGCTGCCTACAAAATAACAAATGACCAGAATCACCCAAGTAGAGGTGTTCTGCCGTTGAGTAGGTATAGGCTCCCATGTGGAAATCCCAGAAGGATAGCTCACCAGAGGGCAAGGACCCGGGTGCGCTCCCACTTCTTTCCACTGCGGGTTTGCCGTCCCTGGAATTCCCTACCGGCAGATGTAGCTATGGCACCGTCTTTGGACGCCTTTAAGCGAAGGCTGGACAACCATGCAGCGATACAAGGACTGCATCCAAATGGCCTATCTCCTTAAAATCGCATATACCAATCAGGGTAGATAATTAAACTCGTCGTTTTACTTCTTTACATTCTCTCCAGTCTTACTCTCCTGACAACTTAATTATATTATAATTATTATCACTATTATCATTATTATTACCGATATATATCTTATCCTTCAAACTTAATGAGCTGACTGTTGTTACGTTTCCTATTTTCGTTTCTGTCTCTTAGTCTGAATATGTTCACTAATTATATCTATCTATTATTATTATTATTACTATCTCTTTTCTCTTGTCGACGATACCGAGGGACTAACTGGCGAAAGGATCAACTCCGATCACAGTAGTAACAGTCTTAACATACCTCATACTACAAACCACATATAATTAATCCCAGCACTACTCCCTTTGGAGTCAACCAAAGCTACGACAGTCGAGTGGCGGGACAAGCTACGCAGAAGTTTACCGAAGATCAGGAACCTATACCTTACAATCAAGAAGCGAGCACAAAGAAATCAAATTGGTTTATACTAGTGTGGTGAGAGCAGGCTGCTAGCCGATTGGTTGGCACTAATCTACGTTAAGGTCTAGGTCACTAATATGGGCCGTGAGAAAATATGAACAAGCCTGAGTAAACAACCAATCAGAAGCCTGCGTTTGTCTACCTAAACAACCAATCAGATGACTGCGCTTGTCTATAATAATGTAGTTGAAAGATGTATAAATACGTGTTGATTTTCATAATAAAACGATCTGTTGCCTGGCCCTTGTCTTCTGTTGTTACACTAGCTCGTAAAAACGATATTGGATTTTGGAAGGTCATCAAGTTTTGTGAAGCGCTTTATTCCAAAATGACGGTACCGACAGAAAATGTGAAGGATGTAATATCAGTGAGAGGTAGGCATACAAAGATGACAAACATAAATGTATTTTTGTGAGTTGTTTAAAAATTTATGTGGTGTTATTAATGTGTTAAATGCGTTTTTTTAAACTCGTAACATTTTTAAAAAAGGGGAATGGTGGCTGCATAGTTCCTTTCCCAAACATTTTACTAAGTTAAAGAGATAAGTAGGATAAATCAATCTAAAAAATACCAAATTACGCCATCTTACTTATGAGGGACTTATATCTACCACTTCCACGGCCAAACGCGTTGGCTGTTGAAATTTGTCTCTAAAAACACGAAGTAATTACTTTGAAGTTCAGTGTAGCAGCAAGGGTTAAGGAGTCGTAAATGGCTTGCAAACAACTTTATCGCAGAGGATTTCGCCATCCTCACAGTATGTTATTGCGTCGTAATAGTAAATATTGTTGATTGCATTCTGATTATGTTTATTTTGTTAGTTTTACTCAGCAATTAATGAATCAGCTTTTATGTCTGTAAACAAAAGCGGGAGAGTTTACATTTCACACCCACTTGGCCAACTTTGCAGATAATTACTACTTTGTTTACCTTGATGGAAGTGTGAGATTAATGAAGAGCGTTTCTAAATAAAATTTGCCTTTTAATGCTTCAGTGTTTGAGGTTCCTTAAGAAGTCTATTTTGGAGACTTCTCACATATCGTGGTGTGTTGGGGAAATTCCTGGGAGTAAAATGTTGCGAATACCAGGCCACCGATTTTCTCGACGAGCAATGTTAGGTGACATGGGACTTGGTTGGAAAAAAGTTAGAGTCGGTCAAACCAAAAGCTGGCATTAATCCAGGAAGTCTCTGACAGTTGGCTTAGGCCAGTCACTGAAGCAGGTGTAGACAGTCTATTTGGGATGCTGAGGACTAGTGGATTGAGGCTGCCAGTGAAATGGGTGAAAATCTTTTTCAGCGACTCGGCTGTATTCACTCTTTTTAATCTCATGTATCTATTAAACCCTTATGCTTTTCTGTCACTTCCTTTTGCTATACATTTCTTTCCATCATAGTCCTCCTGGATCTCCATGTTTTCTCCTTAATTTACCTTTGTGTGTTACATGGAGTTTGGACCGCTGCACTTCTGTGCAAAGTTCTATGTTGAAACCTAGTAGGTCAGTTAGTCAGCTAGCAAGAAACCCAAGATGCCATGAAGTATTTCACTAACTCGGTTCCACTGCTTTATTACTTCAGTAATCTATAAGGTATAGTGTCAGTTAAGATCTACTAATCTGAGGAAACAGATAATAGAGGAAGTCCAATTACTGAAGCGTCAGGATGACTGATAATCTGCAAGCGAAAAACACTTGTTCTCTGTAGACCTATAGAATGTAATCGATGAAAAGAAGCAAATAATGACGGGATGCAAACATAATGAGGAGCAGGGGGTGCTTAAAATCCAGCAAATTTACAAAATTCCCAGCGACTGTGACCATTGATGATTTTTAAAAGCGAGAAATACTGAGAAGGTACCAATACTAAGCTTTACGAGTCATCTGTTCAGACTTACTCAGTATTAGATCTATGCGAAGATCAGTAAACGGAACCAGTGAAAAACATGAGATTCATCAGAACGATATGGGGAGGAGTTAAACCTCAGTAGTCATCCATCCAACCCCAGAGTGAATGAGATGTGGGAAAAAGTCTGTAAACTCTAGCCGTAGTTGTGAAGGCTGTTTCCTATCTGGAATTGATGATCTGGTTCCAGAAATGTGTCAGGATGATGGTGAAAACTATTCACTAAATTAAATAATGTGTGAGAATCCTTTGTTTTGTGTAAACCATAGACCATACGTTGTAGTCATCACACGTTAATGCGCCTGAATAAAAACATGTCTGATTCCGAATTCCATAGTCCTACAAGCACTAAGTGGGCTCCGGAAAAAGCGAATTAGAAAATAATGCAAGTTTTTGGTTTGGGAGAGGGTGCATTAAGTCTTCACCCTTTGACAAGCTGTGGAACACAGGCATACTTACTGTTGTGTAAAACGTCATCTTTGTCGACCTGAAAACGGAATCTGACTCAGTCTGTTGGATGTTGTTGTGGCAATAACTAGCTGTGTAGAGTTGTAGCCCACTCGGCCAGACGCTCAACTACCGACTGCTGGATAGAAAGTTTGAATTCCTCCACCTATATGGCTTCGAGCAACCAGTTAGTTCAAACTAGCCACTTAGGGAGGTGTAAACTTCCTCACTGGTTTAGATCCTCGGGATGGTAAAAACTAATGGCTGGAGACAATCACTGATGTGGCTCAAAATCGTTCTGAGTGATGGCGCAGATGCATTCACTCTTCACAATTTATCATATACAATAAAATTCTATTGTTCTTCCATATTACTATTCTTTTTGCCTCACACTTCTATGTATTATCGCTCTTCACTCTCTTTTCTTGCTTTGTGTGCTACATGAAGTGTGGTAACTCGAACTGCTGGACATCTGTTCGAAATTTTACGTTGAAACCAAACAGTCATTCCTTTGGGGGGCATGTAATCACCACATGCACAAAATGAACGGAATCTACTTTTTTCTCGTGAATTATTTTATCACCTACTTTGCATAGTTTGCTGCTTAGTCGGTGGTCTTTAAACCCAGCTGGTAACAGACATACACCCTGACGATTGCAAAACACAGTATGTAGGGTGTTTCTTTTAAAGATAGTTATAATAATTGATTTATCACAGAGTAAAAAAGCATGACATAGCTCACCCAGCATTTGTCTTCCATTTATGTTGAAAATTAGCCAAAAATAAGTTGTTTTAGTTGAATGCTGTATTTCATTTCAGGACCTACAGTCCCTTGGATTTCTACTTCTCTATTTAAATCAATGTTAACCGACTGCCGAGGACTGATTTATAGAACATTATAGGTCAGCAGGATTTCTTGGTTTTCCCAGTTCAACTGAAACTCTATCTTATTTTGACTGAACTTATGCAATCCTACAGTGTGAGTTCTCTATGGGCTTTTTCTTGAGTCACACCTAAAAATTAGGCTTTATTCCGGCAGCATCACATGTTAAAGTCTCTGATGACTGGCTATATCTGATGCCAAGCACCAGTGATATGATGTTGTGATGGAGATTCAACAGTTGTTCAACCTGGGTACTACTTCAAGATTTGCTAATTTATTTTTTATTTTATTAGAGCTTGATTCCACATAGTATTTTGGTACAAGTATGGAATTTTCAGCTTGTGATATCGGTAGCCCGAATTTCGAAGGCTAACCATTGATATCAGGTGTCCATCGGTCGGGAATCGAACCCCGGACCATGTGCATGGTCGGCGAGCGTCCTAACCACTGTGCCACCTGACGTGTTCTGTCGCCGATGAAAAATAACGCGAGAACACTTGCCAGCAAAAATTTAGATTCTGTTCTTTAAATATCTCACTATCAATGGTTACGTGTGAAATAGGTTTCCGCCAAACATGTCTACCGTTTTTTTGTATGAAATTTTCAGTAAAAGTTGATTGCAACACTCCTTTGTTGGGTTCAATTGACGACTGTATTTTTTTCCTCTGAATTTCATAAACTTAATAATTTCCTCAAATGCATGGTTTTTGCCTGGTTGTGAAAAGTTCAGTAACCTTAGTTCCATAATGCTCTGTTTATTAGATATATCAAACAATGAAACTATTATTTACTAGGTATCTTTTCGAACACAATTTATTCCTATTCAAAATCATATCAGTTATAACTACCACACAACTTTGAAACTTTCGTTTTATAGTTTTCTTTATACCTTCCTATTCGTCGTCGTACGGGTAGTAGAATTTTCTAGATGTCCGGGTAAACAGCTGTTGAATCGTTTGTAATTACATGTTCTTTCAGTTGATTTGTTGTGTAATGCTTCTGTTATCAATCTCTCCCTCCACCCTGTTACATCAGATTTTAAAATTGTCATCTTATCCCATCCTATGGTATGATTATGTGTAATTGCGTGTACTGCCATGGCTGAACTATTCTCCAGATTTCTTATCTTATTAGAGTCAGCTGATCCAAATTTTGGTGTTAAGTTTCTGTTCTCCGCTAGCCTGACTAACCCTCTTTCTACTACTCTGACCTATGTATTTGATCTGACAATCATTACAGGCAGGGTATTAGATAAACTAGATTGTTTTGTTTAATTGCCTCCACAGATTTCTTTAACTGACAAAACTTGTTTCTAAATGGATTTGAATGACACTTTTATTTCTGCCTGCATTGTTAAAAATTCTACTTAAGGTTTCCGAGGTTCCACTTTTGTATGACATTACTGCTGGAAACTTAAATTCCTTACTGTTTATTGTTGTCATCATTCTGTGCATGTTTGAAATGGATGTCTTTATTATTATCATCATCACAATCATTACTCTTATCATTAATTTTATCTTTGTTTTTTACATTTCCCTACATATTACCTGATTAATTTATCATGGTAATTATTAAGTTTCAAAGCTTTTCTTGTATGCCTGACATCCTGGTACTATTTGGTCATTGTGCCCTATTACTTAAACATTTCATCAGTCCTATTTTTTACTGATATAAGGTGGGATGATCGGAGATCCAAATATCGGTTTAAATGTGTGGGTTTTCTGTAAACACTAGTGTTTAACTTTCCATCTTTTTTCCTTTTTTATGCTACAATCTAGCATTAGAAGCTCCTCTTCCTGACTTTGTAATTCATAAGTGGATTGAATCGCCTCTAATAAATAGTACTTTTTCATCACTGTGTGATATATCTAACAAACAAATTAGTGTGGAATTTTGATTGAACACTAGTTACTAGTGCATCAAGGCGGATGTGAGAACAAATACTCGCTGAAGACGATAGCTAGTGGTCGCACTAGAATTCATGGGTCATTGGATCGGGTCCCAGTGGCGTAATCGTCTACAAGCTGGCTAGTCTTATAACCAGAAGGTCCTGGGTTTGAACTCCACTGGGGTGGGTGCTTACTATGGAAGAGTCCAAAACTAGGCAGACGAAACAGCTATCCAGTACTCCAGTGGTGGTGGTTTTCCAATGGTTCTCTAACCGATATCAGCTCATGATGAAATCCTGTAACCAATCTAGATGTGATAGAGAAGATTTGTAGCTCAGGTGGTTGATTTTGATGTGATTGTGTTCTCTGGGATGGATAGTTAATTTGCGAAGCTTTCATCGCCCTACAAGGCGACATTTTCGGCGCATAACTCAATTTGAAGTGAGCTTTTAGATTTCGCCACGAGTTTATTAGACATCTCTCCTGGTGAGTGATCTTGGACGTGATTGGTTGTTTTTGTGTGATTTCACCCATTCTAGGCTACTTGTGTTGGATCTGATTGTTTCTTTGTCCTGAAGTCTGACCCTTTATGTGTGAAATTTCTTTTTTATCGGTTGATAAATTTTGTCTATCTCGATGTGTCTATTGATTGGGGATTCACCGAAATACCAGGCTTCTAAACATTCTCTATCATTCTTGTTGTTTCCTCTGTCTGATATTTTAATGTTGTCTCAGTCGAATTGATGTCCGTGGTTGTCTGTATGTAGTTATATGAGGGAGTGGATATCATGTCTAGTGACGGCTAGCTTGTGTTCGTGGATACGACATGTTGACATGTCAACGAAAAGACTCAACAACGAAAGAAGATAAAGCCAACATCATCTACAAAATAAATTGCAACGACTGCGAAAAACACTACGTTGGCCAAAGTTGACGTCCTCTTCGTCTCCGTATCCACGACCATAAACTAGCCGTCAAAAGACATGATATCCACTCCCTCATATCACCATACTGCATACAGACAACCATGGACATTAATTCAACTGGGAAAACCAGCGTTCAAATATTAGACAGAGGAAACAACAAGAATGATAGAGAATTTTAAGGAGCCTGCCTGGTATTCCAGTGAATCGTCAATCAATAGACACATCGAGATAGACAAAATTTATCAACCGACAGGAAGGAAATCTAGTACACAAAGGGTCAAAGTTCAAGTCAAAGAAACAATCAGATCCAATACAAGTATCCTAGAATGGGTGAAAACACACAAAAACAATCAATCACTTTCGTGGTCACCCACCAGGAGAGATGATTAATAAACTCGTGGTGAAATCTGAAAGCTCACTTCAACAGATTGAATTATGTGCTGATGATATCGCCTTGTAGGGTGATGAAAGCTTTGCAAATTAACTATCCATCCCAGGGACACAACCACATCAAAAATGTAACCAATCTATTAGTTAGCTGTTTTAATGACCTTTCGCCTCTTAACTTCACCCTACTCCGTATACCTAAAACTGATTAACTTGATTGGTAAAATTTTGATGTAGAAATGAAAAGAACGCTTGCACATTTATGCATATATGTATATATATCGTTTATTTTTATCAGAAATAAATTAAATAAGTGTGGTTTTCCCAGCAAAAAGTAAAGAAATAGAGTCATATTTGTGAGAAACTACTAAACCATTAATTACTACACAAGCACTTATCTTTACAGTTTGCTAACTACAGTTATGACCAGTGATGATTTCCTTGTCTTGTTATTATTTATGTTCTCTTTTTGTTTCTTTTAAACTGAATCTGACTCATAATCTCACCAGGATCAAAGGTTTGTATATGGTGGCGATACATGAACAGAATGTCGATGATCTTTTTCTGCTACATTTTTTACAGTCGGCTGAACACTGGATCTTTTTAATCCTGTTTTTCGTGTTTTTGATGGATCCTCACCATCGTTTTGCTGTTGTTGTTGTTGCTGTTCTGAAATGACTTCACTGTTGTTATGCGTGATAGACATTCGTGAATCAGCATTTACACGATCGTTTAGATGAGATGTTCTCAGATGTTCTGTTTCTGCAGATTCATCCATTTCTTCAGGTTGTTGTTGTTGTTGTTGATTGGGATCTGTGAGCCAATTAGCTCTTCTAACACGTGTTTGTTGTCCTTCAAATACTGTTGGCGGTCTATGTTTATAGCTATTCAGCATTATTTCATTGTTAGCCGCCAATATGCTCAGCCTTAATTCATTATCATCAATTGATTTGAAATGATCATTGTACACGTTATGCACTCCATGTAGTCCACAAGTGTCTAAATAGTTGTCATATTCTAAAGGATGATCCATAGAACTAGTCGGTGTTGTGACAGTATCTGAAGAGGTTTTCTTTGCTGTTGTTGTTGTCGTTGTTATTGGCGGACTATTGATTCCATTGTAGTCGTCATTATTCATTGTCTCTTGTGAATATGTCGTGGAGGTTTTGCTTTTGCTTGTTCGGTGTTGGTTTCCAGCTGCGATAGCAGGTGTTACTGCAATCGCTGCAGCTGCCACGGCGGCAACAGAAGTCGCACTGAATTCATGTTGTTTCCCACCGATCATAGCAGCCATACAATTTTCTTCTTCACGTTTTTTTCTTCTATTTTGTAAGTAGCTTGTTAACCATTTCTGGATAAGAAGTATGAGAGAAAAAAGTGCGAATATTTAATTTAGTGATGTTTGATAAATAATAAAGATATGACAACTATGTCAACACGGACGAAACCTAGGTTCAGGGCTTTGTGCTGCCCACTTAATATGAAGAATTCATAGTGCACCATGATGGCGAGGCACCTAGTGGCATCCTCGCCCCATTGCAAACTTGACTGAGAGAATTCAGTTTGCACCAATGATAAGACTAGACACATTCCACTAGTCACTTACTGGTGTCCAATGAAATTATTCAATACAGTACAGTAGATCAATCGTAAGACCGAATAGCTCAATTGTTACGTCTCTGACTGACTTTTGCACTGGGTGACGTGGGTTCGGATTTCAGAAGGGACATGAGTTCCTTCAGGATTGCATATATGCATTGCTCACTGCTGTTGAGTGCACAGGAGCACGAAATCTAAGTCAGGCTGAGCTTCCTATTAGTCGCCTCCAACCATCTAATAATCAAGTTGTGGGCCGTGTGTAAAATATGTCTTTTATCGACCCTTGTTTAGTAATGAAATCAATCACTTATCATAGGGGGGGGTCTAAGCTATCTATCTGGAGGCCTTGAGTGACTAGGTAATTTTGCTTGGAAGGATTTGATGATATCGCTCAAAATGTACCAGTGCGGTACAGATGTGTTCATTTTTTTAATCATGAAGTACAGTCAAGAATGTAAGACATAAATCTCTGCCAGATTACTGAATTGAATCTCCATACTCATGCTCTATGAAGTTTGTATTTTGACTAAATACTAGTGATCTACTTTTGGGCGTCAGTGGTTCAGTGATACAATGCTTGTCAACCACGCACCTGTCCCAGGGTTCGATTCCCCACCAATGAGCTCTAAGCCTCACCTAGTTGGCTAGCCAGTAATAAGCCTTAAGGAATGGAAAGGTTGGGTATGTGGCTATCAATCCCACCCGGCTAAATAACACCCCTGCTACTGAAATTTAAAAAGCGTGAGGCTATACATTCCACCGGGAACACAAAGGAATGAATTATTTTTGAGCACACTTCCTATCTGCAATTATATTCCTGGACACCAAAATCCCACAATGTCTAGAATTTTAGAATTTTCACTAATCCCAATGTGGATTTCATCACCAATTTTCACCCAGTAGTCAGGACCTATTGACTGCAGGTTAATTCGTTTGAAAGAAGGTTAATTCAATGCAATAATACAATCAGCAGAATAAAGTTTACCTCCATAATTGTAACTGCGGCATGATATGCGAGTGGAATAGGTGCAAAAAATATTGTCCAAAGTGCAACAACAGCCGCCAAATCACCTTCTGGTGCGTGTACACATGTTCTAAGCATTGGCATGCATATTAGACCATTGAATACTGAAGATGCCGTAGATAATGTTCGTGATCCTGTACACCCTTGTTTTATCAGTATGCCTACTAGCCAACCAACTGCAAATCCACAAGTTATCAATGTTAATAAGGCTAAAATTAAGCTTTGTGTTACTTCATTGAAAGCATAATGATTAATATACACCCCCAGGGTAACCAGTAGTATACCAGATAATAACAGGAGTGGTCTGGTTACCCAGGTTAAGATTGCACGTGCCAGACCAGGTCGACATCCTCTCATTAAAGTGCCTAAACTCTGTGCTCCAGCAATAAGCAATAACCAGCCAAATGTTTTACCAATATTTATCGGACGATTGAACCAATACCAGCCTACTGTCATTGCCCAAATCGGCGTGATCACTGAAAGATAGAGATGGGGAAAATATTAAGGTTAATGTCCATATGATCGAAGGTATTTGTGATTAGGAATTCGGGTTTTATTCAGGTAGAAATTTTGAATGAAATTATAATCATCACAAGGATAGGTTTATAACTTGATATAAATAACATGTCCCATAAGACATATTCAAAAAATGTTACAAATAATACATTTTAGTTATTTGACGAAATTCTGCTTTGTAGGTAAAATGTTTACAAATTATTCTGACTACTTACAAGTAGTATAAAAGTAATACACGAAAGAAGTACGTGGTCATTTTGTGTAACACCGTGGTTCCATACTCATTTGTATTTGTATTATCTCATAGTGTAAGCATACATTATTATTATTTGTTAGATGTTGTTTTGAAAAGCAATACTGTGTGTCCATAATGTTGCCAAAACATACTTTTTGTAACTTATCACCAGTGCTGTTTAGTGAATTAGTAATCGGAAAGGTCATGGAGATGTTTCTAAAGGTCAGTGATTGATTTCATTGGGCAACAAAACACATGTAATAATAATATTGTAGGAAAAGTGTATAAATTGTGGAATTTAAAAACATTTAGTACCAAGTGGGCTGTCGAAAATACAGAGTCTTTTGATTATCTTGAGGAGCAGCAATCTTCGAATATTTGGCTTGCGATTCACTCATGTCACAAATGTAAGATGATCAGGCTACAGGATTGGAATGGACTACAACAACTCACTCCTAACTTAAACATAGGGAGTAAGTGAAGGGGTAGAGCGTGTTGACCACTTCACTTATGTGGGAAGTTGCAACAGCCAGCCCAACAGGTTGATCGCTGACGAAATCTCAGCACGGGTACAGAAGGCCCGTTTCACATATGCCAGTTTACGCCATCTCTGACTTAGTAGACTTGATATCTGGCTGAATGTTGACCAAAGGCCGTCTGTACTGCACGGCTACAGTTCGCTCCATTCTCCTATGGCTGCTAGAGATACGTGGCCATTAAAAGTGAACCGACGTGAAGAACTTAGAAGACCTGGATTTATGTTTGATGTCACACAAAATCGAAGCGAAAACCGACAAACTGGTCGATGAAGCAACCGGCGAAGACACGACTCCAAGTGAACACAGACAAGAAGGAAGTTATGAAAATAGTCAACCAATCAACAACAATAGCAGCAGCAACATTCAGCGCCAATCACCATCAACGGGAGGGATTCGAAAGAGGTCACTTCATTCACTTATCTAGGGAGCATTGTCTCAACTACAGGCAGTCGGAACGGACAAGGATGTCAAATCGAACGAGAATCAGGAAGGCGAGAAATACATTCATCAACCTGAAACCAATCTGGAAGGAAATCTTCGTCACTTGGCATCAACAACAAAATTCGGTCGGATTTTCAATACAAACGTCAAGTCATTCCTTCTATACGGATCGGAAACTTGACGGGCCACAAAGAATATTTCCAACAGCCTGTTGCAGACGCTTATCAACAACTGTCTTCGCTCTATACTGAAGATCAGCTGGTCGGAAAGAATCACCAACAAGAAACTGTGGGAACAAACAAAACAAAACAAGAACCAATCGGCCACCCAACAAATATGAAGCAGAAACTGGAGATGGGTTGGACACTCGCTAAGGAGGCCACTGGGTGACATCGTGCGTCAAGCCTTCAAGTGGAACCCGAAAGGGAAGCGGCGAGTTAGACGTCCAAGGATGACATGGAGGAGATCGTGAGAAGAGGAGCTGAAACAGTATGGACTAACATGGATGCAGGTGAAAAGTACAGCGGAAGACAGAAGCAAGTGGAGACGTGCAGTTGAAGCCCTATGTTCCATCAGGAACCCATGGGAACAATAAAAGAAAGTAGAAGATATGAAAAAGCTGGCTGTTTTTAATCATAGATAGATGTCTGCGTTCTATCTCCCGTGTTACTTGGTATAATAGGTTGAGCAACATCGAAGTTAGGCCTCAGAAAAATGCTAGGTAGGGAAAAGAAATTAGTAGATGATATTGTAAAATTACATCGATTGAGATGGTTGTGATATGTGTTCTGTATGCTTAGTCATCGCCTTCCTCGACGGGCAATGTTAGTTAACATAGAACCGATCAGATTTGTAAAAGAACCAGTGGTGGTCAAACGAAAACCTGGCTTCATCAGTCAATAAAATAAATCCACAACAGTTAGTTTAAGCCAGCCAGCTACGTAGGGAGGTGTTAACTTCCCGACTAGTTAGGGGCGTCGTGAAGGCAAAAACTAATGGCTGTAATCAGTTGGTGATATGCCTTAAAATTGTTCGCATTGGTGAAGATGCGTTCTCTCTCTGCGTGATCTATAAAACTATTCAAGCCCTTTTGTGTTTTCCACGTTACTTCTTCTTTTCTCCCTCATATTTCTGTCTATTATCGTTCTTTCTTTGATTATCTTTTCTTTCTCTTTTTTGAGTGAGGTACATGGAGGGAGTATGACAACTTGAATTGCTGCACTTTTGTACAAAGTGTTCTTTGTTGAAACCAGTCAGATGGAATAGCTCTCTGTAAGTAAGCAAAAATCTTGTTCATAAGACTAAGAGATTCAGAATATGTATACAGGGTGTATTTTTAAGTTTATAAATAAAATAAGTCGAGAGGGGTGTGAAGCCACGATAGTAAAATGCGATTGGACAAAGGGCTCTCCTATGAGTGCACTATTCACCGTTTTCTTTGCGTATAGTTAGAGCTTCAGTCGCATACTTGTTCAGTAACTTGGTATGTAATCCATCTTTTTTTAAAATTATTTTTCGTTCTTTTCGAACTCTCAACTTTAAAATAATAGTTCTATGCTCCTATGAACAGTATCCCTTTTTAAGGAATATTCATCATTTAACGAACGGTTTTAGACTACATAAGACTACTTAACCAAGTCAGTGACTACAGGTAGAGGAAAGGCTGTTTACTCCTCAAATTTGTATTTAGTAGTTTACCTTGTGGAGTATGAAGTGTAACCTCATTGGACAATTTGTTTAATACTTAGGGTCAACTACCAACCAATCACATGCATTCTAATATGGCTAAGAATGTATAAACAGGATGTATTTTTTTTCCTTAGTGAAGGTTCATCACTGAAGTCTTTTGTCTTCTCCTGTTGCAATATTGACTTTTGGTCAGCATTTTTCTGCGACATATCAGAATATTGTTTAACTGTACAACTTTGATGAGAAGTTATGACCCCGATTCTTAATTTCTTATGAATTCCCAAGTAATCCCATGAGAAGACGGAGGTGATAAAGATAACCAGCCAACCAGAAGCAGCAGCAACAACAACAACCACCACCACCAATCACTATCAATGGGAGGGATTTAACAGAGGTTACTTCCTTCACTTATCCATCAAGGAAAGGTGAAATACACACGCCCTCATCGACCTGAAACCAATTTGGAAATATTCTGCACTGAACATAAGGAACAAGATTCGAATTTTTCAATACCAATGTCGAGTGGATCCATCTATATATGGGTCAGAAACTTGGCTGGCATTTCCAATAGGCCACTGCAGACTAATTATCATCTGCTGTCCCCTTTTCGCTGGCTCCATATTGAACATCCAATGGCCAACCATCCAGAAAGAATAAGTAACAAGAAACTGTGGCTGGGAACAAACCAACAGGTGAGAGTCGATTGCTCAACAACAAATATGTAAGAGAAAATGCAGATGGACTGGTCGAGCATATATTGAATGACATCGCGTGCAGTGCAAGTCATCGCTTGGGTGGAATCACAGGGGTAAGCGACGAGTGAGTCGTCGGTGTGATGAGGGTGACATGGAGGAGGAGATGAGAGATTGTGGGTAATCGTGGTCCAAGCTGAAGAGGACGGCAAAAGATAGGACGAAGTGTAGGTGTATTGTTGATGCCCTATGCCCCTCTTGGAACTCAAGGGAATATTAATAATAATAATAACAATAACAACACAAATATTTTTTTTTGTTTTATAGACTAATCTAAGTGATGCGTCATATAGTATAGTATAGTATGGTAGTATAGTATAGTAGTATAGTATATAGTAGGCAGAAAACAGTTTTATTGTTGTCTGAAAGTTATGACACAGTCTAATATGACAAGGAGACAACATTCCCACAGTTTTGCGTGTGACGTTATTCACTTGTCTCGTTTCGATTATCCCACAATAAACTTAAGATAAATATTATTCTAACATCTTATATAAACTGAAATTTCTGTTTAAAACAAAAGTTACAAAGACTACCAGCCTTGTATTGGGCAATAATTAATCTATAATTCTTGATGCTTAAGTTTTACCGTGTGTGATTATGCAAGTTTCCGATGTCTTGTTTTTTTGAACTGTAAAGATCTATACAATTCATTTAAGTAGGAGGGAGGGGGGGGCGTTCCTTACATAGTAAAAGAACAATGTCTGGCACTTACAACCGGACATGCAGGTCTACCTAGGACAGCTGCGAAACACTGACTCCAAACTTATGCTGTACTTGAGCTCCTGAAGCTATATTACACTGCATTGTGGTTCAGGTATTAAGTCAAATGCTCGGAGACTGGTCCTTTGTGACAAGCACCTTCTTCAGTCTGGGCAACCTGGCAGTATTCCAGCACTTGCACATACCAAGAGACAATAATTTATTGGTGATTTATTTAAATTAATTTAGATTTCCCGTCAATTGATTAGTCCGAAGTGCTTGGTCCTTAGGTTGACATATCATCTGCTTGTGCAGATGCTTCGACGATGTCTGGTCATGTAACTTGAAGTCAACTGATGGGTGGATGGTGACGAGCAGTGGAATCCAGGACAACGAGCATTTTGTCTTATTTAGTACTCGTCAGACCCTGGATGTACCTGCATTCTCCAGTGAGAGTAATGGTGTTCCCATTGGGGCTCGAGTCCAGTGCTCCATTGACGAAGAAAGTTTCCATAAACAGGCTTCCTCATTCATTTAACGATCATTATATTTTCACAGATGACCGTGAGGGGTATGTGATGTAAACATAACAACCAATTAAGAGAATGTATGCAATTAGTAGTGTTCTCTGAGCCGGTTGGTTTAGTTGCAGAACTTTCGTCGTCCTTCTGGACAACATCTTCAGCGCAATTTTTAGCATAAAGTGGACTGATTTAAATTTTCCATGAGTGATGGAATTTTATCTCCCGGTAACCGTCGCTACATATCTGTTGATCATTTTCTATTGACTTGGTTTTTAAACTTTCTCGTCACATGGTTTACTATTTATAAGTTGGTATATTTGGTCTATGTATTAACATGTTTGTTAACGCATATTTTTTGACTGCCAGGCTTCTAGGAATTCCCTCACTGCACTTTTGGTGTTTCCTCTGTCTAAAATTTCAACATTATCCCAATCAAACTGATGTCTATAATTATCTATATGCATTGATATGAAACAGGAATATATATATCGTGTCTTTTCACGGCTGATTTGTGTTCTTGGATTCTTATTCGAATGGGACGCCACTTTGACCGCCTATGTAATGTCTGTTACAGTTCATACAGGCAATTTATTTTGTAAATGGTATTAATTTTATCTTCTTTTTCTCTTGGTTTTTTGGGTTTGTACAATATCGAATTAAGTGATTTGACTGGCTGACTTGTGTACTGTATCTATTTCAAACGTTTTCAATATTCTAGCTTAGATTAAAATTGATAGCTTTACCTATAATTATACCAAAAGTCTGGGTACATTACGTTGATGATACATTTGTAATAATTAAGAGAAATGATTTGGAATATACCCATAAATTAATAAACGACATATTTGAAGACATCAAATTCACCAGGAGAGAAGAAGAATTAGATGACAAAATCCCATTCTTCTTACAATGTCTTAATCAGGAGAACTAACACAGGAAATTTAGAAACACAAGTATACAGAAAATCAACGCACATAGATAAAATACTCAACTATACTAGCGATAATCCAATTACTCACTCACAAGCAAAACTGTGTGCAGACATTGTTTAAAAGAACTGCAACGCACTGTTACACTCCTTTGTTGAAGAGAATGGAGGAAAAATACCTACTAGAGCTGTCTTCAAAAAGAGGAATGGATATCCTCAAAATTTCATCACATAAAGTATAAAACTTGGGCACTGTGGTGGGGGTGTATAAGAAACCATTAGCAAAGACTACAAGAAAATTCATGCCGGCATATACAAAAATATCTCTGAAATGACAGCTGGAATATTGAAACCATTATTTCGGAGATATTTTCTATATATGGTAGGATGGATCTTTTTCGTGGACTTTAATGACGGTTTCTTGGTGCTGTTGTGATTCGATTTTAAAACACTTTTTGATGAAATTGTCTTCATGTTTGTTGATGAGACTATCAAAGATGAAATTCTTTTCTATTTACCTTTTTTGTTGATAATAAGATGTCAATGTTGTTAGAGTGATAATTAGATTTGATTGGAGCTCTGATATCAGAGTTAGAGAACTATTGGAAAACCTGCAGGCAGTACTGGACAACCGTTTCGTCCTAATTCGGGACTCTTCATCAATACGCACCAAACTAGAAGGAAACAGTCGTCCAGTACTCCAGTACTGGTTTTCCAATGGTTCTCTCACTGATGTCAGCTCATGATGAAATCCTCCAACCAATCACACAAAAATCCCTACAAAAAAACCAATACTTGAAAATTAGATATGAAGCGGAAGTTTGGATTAAAACAGCAATCACACCAGGAAGTGACTGCCTGTGTCAGACTTTGTATGCACAAGTCGCTGATATGTACCAGTAAGCGCAATCAGTCTTAAGGTTCTGAGTTCTTCTCTATATGCAAAACTTCCATATATTCGAAACCAAATTATTCCAACTAATTATTAGTAGTTATTGATCATGAGAGTGCGTAATTTCACACACACACACACATGCTCACCTAAATTGCATAGACTTGATACCAATGACAACGCTGCAGATAACTGTCTATCTCCATGACTTAGATAAGTCAATAAGTAGGCCAATCCACCAGCCGGTATAGTTGAACTCATAAATAAACCAAAGGCTTGATCTATGTCTAACGCGTAGACAATTCCAATACCTAAAGCAAGCTGTTAATAAAGGAAAAGAAAAGCAATATAATTAAAATACATTAGCTGGATATATATCAAAAGAATGGATACTAAACAAAGATTACTATTTTCGATAACTTCATCACCAGGCTCTACAGTTATATATACATTATAATGAATGTATGAATGAATTAGTGTTATGAACCACATTAATGCTGTTTAAATAACATCGAATCAACAATATTGATAGATTACAGTTCAACAGCATCAGCATAAAATAAGCTGAATGTCAGAAAAATTAGGAAAGATAATATTATAGATTCATGAATTTATAGTCTCTACTGAAGGCCGGCCAGGGCAGTAGTAGGATTGACTGGTTGGACTTGCTTCTTTTAAACACAGAGCACTGGTTGTTTGAGGCGAATTGCAATAGCCTCTGCTGTTTGGAGCATGCGGTGCTTCAATGATTTTGGCAATTTATTAGGCATCCGGTAGACCATGATAGAGAAGGATTCTTTCACGCTGGCTGGCTTTGTGGCCAGCTGGTTTGCGCCAGATGGTCCAATATGAAACTGTTATTGGTTTTAACTACACCTTTACTTAGCCATAGTGGGAGATGTTCTCGAGCACGAAAAATCAAGTTCGTATAGCAACGGCCAATATAACTGGCTTCACAAGCGCAGTTGAATTGGTAGATACAATTAGAAGTGGCCAGCTGGTCTAGGTACTTCATCTTTCAGTCGAGGTAGCACCATCGGTCGTGTAGAGAATAATACATGTAGTTCGCCAGCCTTAAAAGTCCTTTGAACTGATTTTCTTGATTTCTTCGTTATTATCTCACTGTGTATATTGCCCTTGAATTGAATGGGCTAAGTTTCAATAAAACGTGAATTTACCAATTTACTCCCTATACATTGCGTCGGTGATAGAATGCTTGTCACAGAAAGTCTGGATTCAATTTCCTGTTGACTCACTGCTAAGCCTAGTTCAGCTAGAAAAAATATGGAGGGTTAGGCATGAGATTAGGATTTCTGTCCCATGTAGAACAACACCGCTACTGAAACTGAAAATTAAATGCTTCAAAACCCTGTGTATACCACTCAGAACTCAAAGGAATGAAAGCAGAACTCTGTAGACTAGCATATATGAACTAAATATCGAATGTGTGATCTGATATATACCAAAGATAGTTTAGCTAGACCATTTGCTTATATTGGAAATGTTGAATAAGGGATCATTTGCTTTAAGGCGTAGTTCAGTCATAAAATGTTAAGAAAGAAACCAATTAAAATGATGATTAAGAGGCCATACCATCATCTTCATGTTTTGTCTTTTGAGCGATATTGAGATTAGGCCTGAGTTGAGTACTATGTAAGAAGGAGAAATCAATAGACGAGGCTGTGAAGCTACATCGACTGATAGAGATAGTTAGGACATGTGTTACTCATGCCTAGCCACAACTTTCCTCGACGAGCAGTGTTAGCTGATATAGGATCGGGTTGGAAAAGAGCCAGTGGTGGTCAAACGAAATCAGTCAATGAAGTCCACAACAGTTGGTTTACGCCAGCCATATAGGGAGGTGTAGACTTCCTGACTAGTTGGGTTCGTCGTGAAGGTAAAACTAATGGCTAGAGACAGTTGTGATATGTCTCAAAGTGATCGTTCTCAATCTGGCGCAGATGCATCCAATCCTTGTGACTTATAATTTCCAATAAAACTATATTGTTCTTCGATATTACTATTCTTTTTGCCTCATATCTCTGTCTACTGTATGTGTTTTGGATTTCTTTTTTTGACTTTCTTCTTCTCTGGCTTTGTGTGCTGAGTGAATTGTGGCGACTCGAACTGCTGCACATCGATGCAAGGTTCTACGTTGAAACCAGTCAGTCTATTGATAATTTTAATAGATTTTGCAATTTCCACCTCATGATCCGTATCAAAGATGTACCTGGTAATGGCACTATTGTAAGCGTCTGTTCCGTTGAGACGTGAACATCTCGGTACATGTTCAGAAAATCGGATGTGTGCCCTTCCTTCTGTTCTCCAAATGTAACTGCTCCCGCAGATACACGTAAATTTTTATACACAATTGGAATTAACTTAAGATGGGTATCTGTCGACTTTTGTCTGCACCAAAGAGCATGTTGCCCCGGTAGACGGGAACCAAGTTAACAAGCTGCAGGATACGCTCTGTCTAGTGACGTACTCAGTCTTCTGTTGACCATTGGTGGAATGTTTTCTCCTTTAAAATCGAGTTGAATGTAGATTGGTTTTTTTCCCACTATGATTTGTGTTTGATGTTTAGGATCCTTTTGAAGAACAGGAGGTTGCATCAAATGACGCCACGAACTTATTTGAAACGTTCATGTGGTTCACGCTTTCAGCAAAATAAAATGAATCTTTCATGGTGTACAAAGCTAGACTGGACACATACACACACGCTTAGGAGACCGTTAAGTGATATTATGTGCTAGGCCTTCGCCCGAGTGGAAAACGACGAATTAGGTCCAAGGGTAACATGGAGAGGAAATCGTGTGGACACAAAAAAAGAGAAAGCTTATGGGAATACAAGAGCCATCTAAAAAGACAGCAGGGAAGAGGATGACATGGAGATGTACTGCTTTAGCCCGATGTGTTTCACTCGAAATGCAAGGGAATAATAAACGAATAAATGCTAGAAATGACAACAAAGGACCTAAAGTCCAGTGTTTATCTGTTTAGCTATAAGACGTGAGATTACCTACTGCCTTCTATCATAAGATAGTTACAATCACGTAATCATGTAGAAAAGATTTTAGGATAGTCAATTATTAGAATTTAATTTGTGGATGGTGACTAGCAGTGGAATCCAGGATAACGCGCATTTCGTCCTATTTGGGACTGGGCATCTGGATGTACCTGCGTTTCCCAGTAAGTGATGATGTTCCCACTGAGGGTCGAACCCAATGCGCATAGTTTCAAACGCCAAAGCGTTATCCACTAGACAACTTGGACCACGAGAGCCACGTCTTGTTCAACGGGTGGGTCCCAAATAGGACGGCATGCGCATTATCCTGGGTTCCACTGCTAGTCACCATCCACAAATTAAAGTCTAATTAAATGCCCAGATATTGTCGAAGTATCTGCTCAAGAAGCCAACAGACATGTCAACGTGAGACCGAGGGCTTCTATCCAATCAACTGACGGGAAAATCTAGAAAAATTCAATTAAATAGTCAATTATTTACGTATAGTATTAGCAAAACCTCGCCTAGTTTAGTAGATGGCTTTGAAAAATCCACTCAGTCGCTCTACGGAACCTTGAAAGCACATGAAAAAAAATGTAATGATATTGTAGTTGTGAAAGTTACTCAATCACTCTATCATCTAAGAGTAATAAATACTAGCATTCATTTAAACTGTGTTTTCGTATAGTTGATAATTTTGACTTCCGTGCCGATTGATGATAATTATTATTGTTTCTACAATATGTTGATGTCAAGTAGTTAACTTTCCCATTGATGATTTCATCGACTGAATAGTTCTACTCTTCATGTTTGTATGTCTCTTTCTCTCTCTCTCTCTCTGTCCCTGTCTCTGAATGTGAACTTCACATGGTGAAGTGTTTTTTATGTTAGATAATTAACATTCCTAAATTAGCAGAAGTCACACTAGTTACAACATTACAAAGGATTTAGTCCAAAACATACACTTGACATTGTGTTTACGTGTTAATTTCTCTGAATGCTGTTGCGGAGTCGTTGTTTAAGCATATTGCACAAGATTTGAAGTAATAATAATAATAACAATAATAATACGGAATATGTATACATCAGGAATAGTAGTGAGATTGGGAATTTGACTAACTTACTTCGAGTATTTACTGGATTTCATCATAAGCTGACTTTGATTAGAGAACCATTGGAAAACCACTAGGGAGTACTGGACAGCTGTTTCGTCCTAGTTTGGGACTCTTCACAGTACGCATCCAGCGGGATTCGAACCCAGGACCTTCTGATTACAAGGCCAGCTGGCTGATATACCATTAAGCCACTGGGAGCCGATCCAATGGGCAGCCCATGAATTCTACCTTCTGCTGATTCGTGATGTAGTGCGACCATCAGATAACATCATCGCTGGAGAGAGTATTTATCCTTACACCTTCAACCTGCTGTACCCTACTGGTCACGACTTCCCAACAAGAACTCCAGGTAACTAACTAACTACCTGAATAGAGCCAGTTGCTAGTGTGGATCTCATTGATATTCAAGTTTTGCATTGTAGGGATTTGATTGATTGAATACGGGATTTCATCATGAGCTGACAAAATAACTGTCCAGTAATCTGTGCTTTTCCACTAGACCTCTAAATGATGTCAGTTGAACTGTGGCGTACAATTATAATCTCCTAATTTCAATGATTTGGCTACTAATCTACGTGTTTGTATTGTGTAAAACAACTGGCTATGTGTGTGTGTGTGTGCGCGTGTGTGTGACATAAAACAAGCGCCTACAATGAATGGAAACAGTTAACCTTGTTAATATAATGTTATCCTGTTGTTATAAATCAATGCAGAAGAAGAATGAATACTGAATACCTAGATACACTTGACTATTTATAATTATTCTTAAAAAGCAGGAGAATTATTTGAACTAGTTGTGCATATGCATAGGTATATGTATAGGTATATATGTATACCATTGTTTCATCCGGTTGTTGTCTTTTCATCCCCTTATTTTCAAAGTTCTTGTTCTCCCTCTTTTTCTAAAAACGAAACACGGTTTATTTCTTCCTATTTCCATCCCAAAAAGTAAAATAAGTTATCGAGTGTAAAGACAGAGAGAGAGAGAGAGAGTTAGAGATTCTAAACAGTTAGTAGTCGATTGCAATTCCTGATTAATAGAAAAGAATGTTTGACAATCATTCACTCTACCATCTTTGAAATTCCAAGCATTATTAATCTTAATTGTTTATAGTTATTGTTGTTCTAAATACCCTTAGGTTCCGAGTGGGGAACATAGGTCTTCAGCAGAATAATACTATCATTTTTATCCGGTTTTC